CGGATCCACACTCTTCAGCTTATTAGCTACTGCTCCTCGCAGTGTTTTGAATTCCTTTGCCTGAACTTCTTTTTCAGTTCATATCAAGTAATGTTAGTACAAGTAAAGGGACCACTGAGTTAGTTAATTTTAATTATATGCAAGTTTATTTGTACTACTGTGCGAGTATTCTGAGAATCACAGAGATGAAAGTTTTTGATTTTGATCAAGGAACTTGTGAAGAAGTGAGGCTAGGGGGGTGGGACGGAGGGGAAGAGGCGGGGGAAGGGGGGAGGGGGAGAGGAGGGAGAAGAAAGTTGCGGCCGAAAAAAGGAGGAAGATAGAAGAGGTACGAGTTACAAAAATTTTTAAACAATACACCATCTCCCCAGGCTTTCCATCCAACGAATGTATGTTTATTCAACCTTAAACAGCTCCCAGCCATCCGCGCAAATTAGTATTTTTTTAGCACGAAATATCAGTCAACTAAATATAATTCTCTCTTCACCTAATTCTGCATCTTGTAACTCCCGATTTAGGAGAGGTAGAAACTGATACCATTAATAATCCGTTTTTCCAGTAAAGCAAATTATGTGAATGATACCAACTGTCACTTCCGTTAAAAATGCTCACGAACTGACCAGTGCGTGAAATTTACAGTATACTGCTTCTCCGTTCTTATTGACCAGTTTGAAGGTATGGCCTCCATAGCCATGCATGAATCGCCAGCCGTCAGGCGTCCCTCGGTCGCTGTAAAGTATCATCACCTGGTGTGTTGACTCTGGCCGACTCGTGTAAAAATCGAACGCCATATTGATGTCCTGCAGTGATTCTTTAGATTCTACCAACCAAAATTTCATCGAATGTGAAAAAGTCAATAGGATCACGAAGCACACGTGTTTGATAATGGAATCCTGACGGTTTAGGAGCCATTTTCGTACATAGTCAATAGCAATATGCACCAGACTTGCCAGTGCGATTACGTGTTTTTGGTCAAACTCTGGAGCAGTCAAACCATTACAGCATGGATGGCCGTTGCTTTGCAGCTTAACATATGCACTCTGTAACGCTACATGTGAAGGAAGTGAGGCGTCGACTAACGGCTGGGACAGTGGTGCTGCAATGTGGGGCCACGTGATAACGCAACTTCCAGGAAAATGATCAAGGAGCTGCTGCCGACGATTTTTCATCTTCAAGTTTGCCCGTGTGCATGCGAAGAGTAGGGCTTCATTAAAGGCGATATTAGAATTTTAATCGAAGACATGTGAGCATTCTCACAAACTGTGCTTTCTCCGCTGTCTCACTACCGACAGACAAGAACGGCAAAAGTGTTGCTGTTTGAACATTTCACTCGTCTGTGCACCTTGTACTTAGCTCGAAATCTAGACTTGCCCAAAGCCGAATTTAAAGAATAATGCTATTCACTGAGGCAAAAGTGCAACATCGCATATTATGATACACTAGTCCGAACAACAGCAATTTTTACCCTGAGCATTGTAACAGGATTACGTTTCTGGGTGTGAATGAAATGAGGGAAAAGTGCAGCATCGCGGATGAAAAAAACAGGTGTATTGTTGCACACAAGATCCCAGTTTCCTTCTTCCGTGTAGAATTTCATGGCGAATCCACGAGGATCTCGAGCCGTATCTGCGCTTCCAGATTCACCAGCTGAAGCATTTTTTTATTATCAGCATACAATGCATCGGCATTTTTTCCACTATTTCAACTTTTTCAAAATGCTTTTTTTTCCTTAGTAAATTATGCATCAGAAAAATAAAGAGTTTCAGACGAAACGTACAAACCGATGGTGGAGAAACGAATGAACATCGGTGTTTTCTTTCCAACTTCACTAAACAGATCCGCTTTACAGTACTTTGTGATTTCGTCGCTCGTGACTTCAAAGAATCCATGTGCGCCTGCAAGAAGCGAATGTTTATTACTTCTCTGGCAGCATATGAAGAGATACTGGAACAAACGTGAAAAATGAAGTGCTATGAAGTGCTAAATATGAAGAACCCAGGTTGGAACGCACCAGGCTCTCCGATGCGATCATGCGTTTTTGCATCAAACTTCCAAGTGCCGTCTCTCCTTGAAGGGCAGTGGGGAAGAAAGAAGGGGATTCCACATTATGCCACCATTCAGCTGAAGACCGGGTTTTGAGAAAGAGTAAACGTCTAAGTGTACAAACCCTCTGTCGGAGACATAGGCGGGTTCAAGGGGCGGCGGTAAGTCTTCCACCCCTCTCTCGCCCGGGCGGCACAGGCACCAGTGCTGCAAAAGTCCTGGTCTAAAACTAAAACTAAAGTCTGAGGTAACTGTAAGTAGCAGTGTGTTACGACTATATTCCTAGTTTTCGCATAGTTCCAGTGTGGGAGGGATCTCTAAGCAGGAAAGAAATGTGGATTCTCGCTGAGCTGTATGGACCATGGCTGCAATCAAGCACCGAAATTCGGATTCATCGGTAATACATACAGCTACCATTTGAATTGCGGCCGTTCGATGTTCAGTTGCACAGCGGTCGTATGCGTTTTCGTGGTTTTTGTGTGCGATCGGTTTCACGCGTGATTGTTTACCCGTTTTGCTTGTTATGTTGCTGAGGAGGGAAAGTGCGTGCATCTCTTTTGTGTTTATTTCTAGGAGCATGACTGGATTTGGGGTTGCGTTGGAAATATGCTATATAGCAGGTTCACGTTACGATTGCGGTTCAGGTTCGAGCAGCGAACGAATTTTTGAA